CTATTTCCAAAATAGTAGGCACTAAATTCTCGGAAATATTGTCGCTTTTCTTATTTATTACATAATCCTTGCTCTTCTAATTATTAGTCTCCTACTGATTTTCCCGTCAAACACACTTGTAGCCTACGATATTTTCCGTACGCCACTGGGAGAGACCCATTATCGCAATCATTTCTGAGAATTTAGTGCCTACTATTTTGGAATTAGTGTATGTATACTTGAAGTTATCGCAGCTCAAGTTAGGTCAAATAATAATGTTGTTTTATGTGTTGCCTCTTCTGGGATCGCGGCACTTAACCTTCCAGGTGGAACAACAGCCCATTCAATGTTCAAGTTGCCTCATTCAATTTTGAAAGATTCAACCGAATATTGGTATGTATCTACTCATAGTCAAAGAGCCGAATTGATTAAAAATGCTAAAATAATTATTTACGATGAAGCTCGATGAAGCTACGATGAAGTAAATACATATTCGAACTAATTGATAGATCGTTAAAGGATTTAATGAGATGTCATTTGCCCTTTGGTGGTAAAATAATAATATTTTCTGACGATTTTAGGCAGGTAACTCCAATACTAAAGAACGTCCTTTCTTCTTCGGAAGTTGTGGCAGTTTCGATGAAATTTTCATACATTTGGAGCCACATAAAAATATTTCAAATTACCACACCGCATCGTGTAACGAATAATCAACAGTTTTCGAAATTTTTGTCAGATGTCGGTGATGGTAAAATTCCAATCGTACGTACAAGCATTAGTAATTGTTTAATACCATTATTAGAAGAAGTAAAGTACGTAACAAATTTAAATGACTTATTAGATTTTGTATTTCCTATTGATCTTTTACAAAATTCTAATGCTTGTGCAACACGCGCAATTTTATCAACGTTAAATCTTATCCTTAATGAAATTAACAATATTGTGTTGGATAGATTATAGGGCGATGCTGTAACTTTATTACACGCATCTAATATTGTTTTTAAAGACCTCATTAGATGATTTTTTTTTTCAATTTTTTATATATTTCATTTCTCATTTTGAAATTGTTTTAAAATTTGCTTAAATTATTCAAAATAAATTTCTGTTTGATGATATACATGTCTAAATGTGACCTAAAAAGCGTTAAGCTTACCTACATTACCATTGCAGGTTAATAAAGTCACACACGTTTAGATTCTTACGGATTTTAACATTGTTCAATTTGAGTATTTAAATATCTATTTTTTAGATTTATTTAGATTCTTTTCTAAATTTAATATATTTATAATATTCAGTTCATAACGGTTCAGTTAAACTTCTGTAAGGTTACTATACTTAAAAATGACTAATAAAAACGTTATACCAATCTTATATAGCAATTAGTAAAGTCGCAAACATAAACTGTATGCGTATTTAACCTTTGCATTAATAATTCTATATTAACCTGGTTAACAAAAATTTAGTCATAAAAGTTGTTTCCAAACAGATTGTAATTCTGACCGTTTGTAACTATTATAAAAATATACAATTGGTACAATAATATTGTCCAATTCACATGTCGTAGGGCTACAGGCGAGAGACATGTATAAAATAAACACAACGCGCCAAAGTTCTACCTCATAAAAATATTAATTTTATAACAAATGAAAATCGTTGTAAAGTTAATATTTCAAGGTGCGAAGCCCCCTTTCCCAGCTTTTAGCGATAGAACCGAGTTAGGGCGATTGATTGGCGACCGAAATTAAAAATGAATTACTTGGGCATACAGAGGTACATAGGGGGACGTAAAAAAAATCGCTGATTACGAAAATCGACCTCTTTTCGCCAGCTAAATTCGTTTGAATCCGTAAATCGAAATTAAAAGTAAAAATTTTGACAGATTTCTAAATAAATTGTTTGATGGACGTTTCCCGTTCGTTTGGTTTAAACAGAACTACACCGAAATGAGAGACTTTTTCGTTATTTCGATAAGTTCGTCGTTTTTAATGGACGAGAATGAAAGAAAATACAATAATACGCAAAAATATATATTTCTTGGTCATTTGTACTTACCAAAAAAAGTATTTGTACTAACCGGAGAAACGATCAAATTATTTTAAAAAAACCTACACTAATGACCGCGGCGATGAACAAACTTCAAACTGTCAAAGTTGTCATTTCCGTTACTATGGGATACGTTGACATTTAAGTTGATGTACAGGGTGTTTTTTCATTAATGAAATCGGAAAAATTAATATACGGGGTAGATTTTTTATCTTAGGTAAAAAATTAAATTGAAATATAGTACAGGGTGACTCGTATTTAAGGAAATTTTAATTACATCCGGCTATACAACTGTCTTTGCGTAGAATGCCGATAGGCGTTCGAGCGGCGTTCGTGCGGCGCTATGCGGCAGAGCCCATCGTCATCCACAGCGATTTAGTCGAACTCGCGAATCGAGCGAGACCTTAGTTATATAACAGCCTTTGCGTAGGAGGCCGTCAGGCCTCCGAGCTGCGGGTCTATGCGGCAGAGCCCATCGTTATCCACAGCGATTTAGTCGAGCTCGCGAAACGAGCGAGACCTTAGTTATATAACAGCCTTTGCGTAGGAGACCGTGAGGACTACGAGCTGCGGGTCTATGCGGCAGAGCCCATCGTTTTCCACAGCGATTTAGTCGAGTGTGATTAATTTCCAAACGAAAATTCAATCGCACCGAGCTCGCGAAGCTATCGTGGGTCCGGCTAGCAAACTGTCTTACGGCGAAGCCGCCACCGTAAGAAAGGGGGGTTGAAAAGGGGCGCAGCCCCCTTTCCGAGCGTTTAGCGAGTTATAAATAATATAAACATATCATGTTTCTGTTACATTCAATGAAATTAATAAATATTAATAAAATTGGAGTTACTCCTCGATCCGTGACAATATAGTAATATTTATAATGATAATTAGGCAAATTGATTCTTTAATTATTTTTACCAAATATGTATCGTGAGATTCCACCTTGCACTTTTGCTTTATTTGAATTTTTGGAAGGGAAATATTGTAAAAATACACTGTTTCATATCAAACATTTAACCACTAACAATAAACCTGCACCGTAAGTACACAATTGCTGGAAATTATTTTTAAATTCGTAATTTGACCGCTAGGGGATATAACTGCTATGATGGGATATAAAAGTTGGACTATCTCAGAATGTAAATTGGTGAGCTATAACTTTGAGAACATCATATATGAGTGCTTGGATAATACCGCATAATTTTGTCCTCAGACGTTTTTTCACATTTTTATAACTCCTGAACCAATGAACCAAATTGAATTTAATTGGTCTCGTTTTAAAGAGAATTTGGTGGTCTTTTCAAAGAATTTTTTTCTTATACAATTTAGTTTGAAACAAATAAACTAGAGGGCGTTATCTAAAACGGTCGCTTTTTTTGTGATTTTTGAAACAAAGTTAAATGGAACGGTACTATTTTCTTGACAGGTCTAAAACCTTCATAAAATTTGTCAGACATTAGTGAAAACCGCATTGCAATATCTCCATCCATTCTCAAGATATACAAATAAATGTTATAAATTCGAGTACTTCAATCGAGTCAATTTACCTTGGCGATAAAAATAAGTAACATAATTATCGTTATCGATGTAATTTTAATAAATAAATAAGTCCTTTTTACTTTCAAGGTTAACAAAAGCTGGAAAAAACAGCTGCGACTATTGATCAAAGATTTGCTTCCAAATCGATCGTTCAGGAGCTTCGTCATGCTGATACCAAGCCTGCAGAATTTTTTATTGCTTCAAAAGTGGTTCGAACCGAATGATCGATGAATCTTTCAATGATGTCAAATTGCTGTATAGTTAATTCACGTCATTTTCGCATTTGTGATCTGCTACTGGGATTGGTCGATTTTAAACCTCTTTATTTAACAAAGGAATAACCTTTTTATGTTTTCGACTGCAGTTTTGGCATCTCCATTGTCGTTTCCATAAGGCATCTCCCGGTGGGGCGTGAGTTCTGGGCCACCTGTATATGTATACAATAAAATGAAAAAAAAATTTTTCAATGTAACTGTATATAATTTTTTATTTGAACGTCGTTTTTAGTTCTGATGAACGTTTTTAATAAAAAATTTGGATATTGTCAAAAATAAAGGTACTTACTCTTGAGTAAAATTAATATTTTTTGACACACCGCGCATACGGCTGAAAAAATTTAATATCTGATGATTGTATTTTAGATTTCAGAACATGCAAAACTTTTTATGAAGTATAACTTTTTTCTCTAAAATTAATAATAAAAAAGTTTTCCATATGGTTCCAACTTAGTTGGACATACTGTATAAAAAAATTAAATTTAGTAAAGGGCAATAAAAAAATAAGAATAGTATGATGAAAATATTGGTAACGAGTCCATCGACTGCGCACGTTCTATAACACAATGACAAATGAAAGGCATTTTGAAGCGTTTCTAGAGAGCGCTGTTGCAATATTTTCATTATTGATTTGATACTATAAATTTTGTCAATTATTTCATTTTTGTTCGCATTTCTAACAATTTGCAGTACATTCAAATGTTAAAAAAAATTCAGAATAATAGATTAGTTATACACAAACTCAAAAAATTAAAACATTGCTACATTTGTTTAACAATAAGGTTTACTGTACTTGTGAAATTTGTAGAAATAAGGTAGTAGTTGCCAAATTAAACATACATATACATGAACTTCAATTTAATAAACTTTTAATCAAATAATTTAAACAATGACCCGTTAGTAATGTTATCCCTTCATTACCTACATTATATTAATGCATTAATTACAAATTACTGTACATTCATACATTAATTAGACATGTTTAATCTTACGGGTTCAAAACACAACCGAAAAAATATTTTGTGGCGACAGCATTCTATGAAACATACACGCATGTAAGAAAAAAACATTTTATGTGGCAACATAGCGAATCGTAAAATCGATATACTGTAGAATTATTTACTATCTCTCTTACGGAAGCTTTCTCTATTTTCCTGGGTTTAGACATCTCCCAGTGCAGCACCCGTTTGTCGTGTAATAACCGTACACAACAAAAGTTTGCACCTGTATTTCCTGAACAGTTCAAGATAAAATTACCCCGTTTGTTTCGTTAAATGGTAAAAATTATGCTTAACAATTTTGTAATGTTGTATAATTTTAAAAACCTAAAAGATTCGCGTCTGATTTAAACAAATGTTTGTTAAGTTAGAATGGTACTTTTGTTATAAATCAAAACTAATTTCCGTAGAGACGGGATGTCCCATCTCATTCGAGGGAGAAAAATATTATCTACACTTTTGAAGGTATGCCATATTTTCGTGGAACTAATAATTTAGGAGGTATTTGGTTTTTATTTGTTGGATGAATGTTATTTTCCCTATATATTTTTCTACAGGTTTGATTAATACCATGATGATTGATACCATGGTTTGATCGTTCGTAAATATCATTCGTGTAGAAAAGTATTTCCTACAAAACATTTGCAGGTTTTTATTTGCCTGAAAATTATTTTTCCTCTATATCGTTAATGCGATCAAAATCCGTTTTTCCGATTTGATGAAATTCGATTTTAAACCAAAATGGAAAAAAGCCGAAAGCATATTTTCCTCGTTAATGGAAGATCTTACGGTGTTTATTGTCGTTTTTGATTGTTTTACAATCTCAAAGTTAGATAGCTACCTGTCCTAATCAAAAGAATTACTACGTGTCTTAACATTTTATTTTAATTTACCCAAATCGAAAAAATTATCCCCTTTTTTTATAACGATCGTAAATTTTCCAAACCGAAAGAATAAACCTGTGGGTTTAAAATTATTACCCGGCTTCGATGAAATTAATATAAAAAATATTATTCAAACTTCATCAAAATTTAAACATACTATTTGGCAACGTAGCGTTTCGTAAAATCAATATACTGGGAAATTTATTCCTATCTCTCTTGCGTAAACTCTCCCTCTTTTCCCGGGATTAGGTATCTCCCAGTTCTGCAAATGGATGCAGAATAATAACCAGTATGCGACCAAAATTTTAAAATGTTTTTGAGATATTAAAAATAAATGTGCATTTTGAACGGTTCAAGATATAATTATCCCATTTATCTGATTGGATGGTGGCTGGTTGGCTGGTAATAATTATATTTTACTATTATTTTATTCTTGTAAAATGCTTTTTGTAAATTGTTTAGTAATTATTATTTATTATCGTTTAGTAATTATTATCAGATAGACATTGGTTATATTATATATACCTACTATACGACAAAGAAAAAGACTGTACAATTTTGCAGGTGACGTAAATTTTTGTAGATTCAACTTCTAAACTTGTCATTCGTTATTCTCTATAACTTTGTAAATATGAATAATTTTCGTAAACGTAACGGTTTAGTATGCATATGTTTTTTTTGCCGGAGAAAATAATTTTCCCTTTGAGAAATGGTTTTGTGTCGAATAGGGGGAATAATATTTTAGAAAGGCAGTATCAAAAAATCAGATTTTTTTTTTCCGGGAGGAAACTTTTTTACCTAGCTTAGTTTTTTTTAGTCCTATACAAGATGTGTCATAAGAAATGGTCAATATTTTAAGATTCAGTATTATTTTAGTATTCAGTCATATTTTATTACCTCCAAATATTCATATTAGTAGAGTTTGAAAGCTCGCAAAAGTCTTTTAAAATAGATTTTCGTTTGCACTTCACTGCTAAAATGTAAGAACCACTTTTTTTCGTTACTTATGCCCTAAGAATGCAAAATCAACAGGTCGTTCAAAAATCTTAGGGTGCAGGAGGTGAGAGGGCTGAATTTTTCAAAAAATAAAAAAAAATGTTTTTATGATTTTTAAATCTACAACATACGTCTATTTAATTGGCAAAATATGATGTCGATATTTCTATTGGAATTATATATTTTTCTATTTAGAAACAGACCACGCAATGCTTTTACATGGAGTTGCTTTACGAATAAACGCTTTTCCTGAAAACTCATTTTTATGTTATTGTTTACCTCGTTATAGCATGACAACAATTTGGTTTATCAAAAAAATACCTTCTGTAAACGTTAAGCACTGAAGATCAAGGAATAATTTGCTTTTTGAAAAATCGTAATCTGGTGAATATACTTATAGTTTCATTGTAAATTAACAATATCTGAAGCCATGTCGTGGATATTGCGGCCGCCAGGGAAGCAGCGATGAAAGCTTAGATTTGTGTTGGTGGCCAGGCGATAAACGACTTTAGTGGTTCTAACGCGCGGTTAGGATCGTTTTCGCTTGCCGTTTCCTTTGTGCTGCGTTTATAAAATTATTCGGGAATCTAAATGCATGACTATAAAATAATATTATTATTTATTGGGATTGAAAACTGTTTAAAACGTATTAAGCTTTCGATAGCTCGTTTTTTCTTTAATTCATTGAGTGTGATGCTAATGTTATTTTTTGCATTTATCATTAACTGTCGGCAATTTGTATTTAATACATAATACTATACATTAATACACGAAATACTAAATAATACTATAAGTAGGTACATAGGTAATACTTTCATAATTCTTAATACTAAAAACATAGTAGGTATACAGTGTGTGTCACGACGATGACCCATTAAAAGTATCTGAAAAAGTAGTGGTAATTAAAATTTGAAAATTAGTGTACAAGTATTAGTCGATGCGCTCTATTCAATGAAAATATTTTCAACTTTTCCTTACTTCCGGTTATACCGGGACAACAACTTTGTTATTTTAAATGGTACACCCCATATATTAATATATTTTCGAATTGTACGCAATGTTTTAGAGTGTTTTTGTCTAAAAAATCTTTTTGAATTACTATTTTTTTTTTGAAAAATATGACCGATGCAGACCCTTATAAATTATTTTTTTGCGGTGACCCCTTTAAAGATATGGAAACAGCTTCTGCAGGGTGGCCACTAGCAAAGTCAAAGGTATTTGAACCTGTGTTAATTTTTTTTTATTTTATACAGGTTGTGTACAAAAGACGTGGAAAGTTGAATTTCAAAAATACCAAATTTCTTTATTTCTTTAAATGGAATCACCCATTTTTTCTATTTTATTGAAGTCAGCGATAAAAAATAAGGGAAGTTCATGTTTACTTCCCTATACTTAAACCTAATAGGTTTGATAATATTAAAAATCACCCTGTATCTCCTTAAAGAAGAGGCTGATGGAACTTTTAATGGTCGTATGATATTCACCTTAAGTGCCTCTATACACTGTTAAAGTATGTAGGATTCCTCACGACTTACCCTGTATAATGGCCAACTTGTAAAACAGAGTTATTTAAGAATAAGGCAGAAAAGTAAGTTTTATGTATAATTTTTAATATCTTCAAAACTATTAGGTTTAGGTATAAGGGAGTTAACATTAACTTTCCTTATTTTTTACCCCTGATTTCAATAAAATAGAAAAAAGTGGGTGGCTCCATTTAAAAAAAATTAAGAACTTTGGTATTTTTGAAGTGGGCGGATGTAATTTGGGCCGAAATCCGTACAGGTACTTAAACGGTACATGTAGTTTGGGCCGAAGGTTTCAAGGGTCATTTTAATCTTATACGTATTTTGGGCCGAGGACAGGGAAAATATTCTTATAAAATAATTTAATTTAGTTTTTGCTTTATTTATTTTTCGTTATGAGTCGTCGTGTATTTTAAGATCGTTAGTTACTCTGATAAATGTAAGCTATGTAATACAATTACCTAAAATTATTATTAGTCCCAAATTAATAATGTGAGATATTTCTTTAGACAATATTTGTAATATAACGTTTTATCATTCATCGTTCATTCGTTTTAACGTATAACGTTTTATCATTCATTATAGCTTATTATTATAATTGTTTCTATTTGTTCAATAATATTGTGGCCCTTAAAAGGGCCGTTTGAAAATGATCCTATTTTTTTAATTGGGAAAAAAAGGTGATGTGCCCTAACGAAACATTGGAACATTTCTTCGGGTGTCGTATGTTGGGATCGCCACATGTACTCCATTAAGATTTCATCATGGGAGGAAATTTTTCCATATCTTCTTCTTAAGTCTCGTTTAATGAAAGACCATTTCGCTTCGATATTTTGCGTGTGTGTCCTCGGATCGTCGGGATTGACAATTTTGGGAGTGGTTAACTGTATCGTGCCGGTATCCTGGGTTATTTAAATTTAAATTTAAACGATACAGTTAACCACTCCCAAAATTTTGTCAATCCCAACGATCCGCGGACACACATGTACATGTATCTTTATATTACAAATATTGTCTAAAGAAATAACTCACATCATTAATTTGGGACTAATAATAATTTTAGGTAATTGTATTACATAGCTTACATTTATCAGAGTAACTAACGATCTTAAAACACACGACGACTCATAACGAAAAATAAATAATGCAAAAACTAAATTAAATTATTTTATAAGAATATTTTCCCCGTTTGCAATTTTTGCCACCGCACTGCGATAGTGAGATCGGTTACCTCCTGCCGAGAGACCCTCATTAAAAGGTCGTTAAAATTACGGATTATCGGTGGACCCCCGAAATTGTCCCTGAACCATTTTAAATACTTTAGTACGCCATAGCTTTAATAAAGTTAATTCTGGAAATATTTCCAGACCGACGCATATTCATCATATTTTCTAAAAATTTTAATTTATTTCGTACTTGTTTATCTTTTATTTTTGCAGGAATATGTACACTTTTTATTTTTAAATAGGCGTCGATCTGAAATTCCTTTAATTTTTGTATAAAAATAAAAATTGATGGCTGACAAGAATAAAATGAGGAATTAAATCTTGCATGAAATGACTCGCATGCGTTTATTGTTCTGGTGATGGACGGATTTTCGTTTGCCCATATATCAGGTGGAAAATCAGAATTAGGTGCTATATAAGTATCCAATAAATAGTACTGCATATTTTTCCAATAATTCGTTATTTGGTTTGTAGGACATTAAATCAAATATAAAAGCATCCTCAACTTCGGATGATTTTAAATAAGTCATCCCAAAGGTATGACTAAGCCATTTGCTTTCTTCAGAGTTTTTATCTTTATATATTTGAGTTAACCCTAAAGACTGTATTTTTCTATACCATGCCTGATGTAGGTGAAATCTACAACCATTTATTTTGGTTTTGGGAAAAACAATTCTTACTGCGATATGTATTGCCATTTCAAAATCAACAAATGCCTCCGCCGGTTCAAAAATTTCATTAAACACTTCCAAAATTTTGGTTTTAAGTAACACAAAAAGTTTCGTATATGTAGCGGCTGTCTTATTTGGTAATAAACAATATGCAAGAGGAATATA